GTAGATAACTACTAAACTGTAATTTTGACTGAAATGCACTCCAACTTGACCTACAGCTTGTTTTTTCTAAAGAAGCCCTCAATGCCTGGCAAAAAAATAATTAGTAACTCTCCTAACACCAAAGAGCGAGTCTTAAGATTTATGTTTTAATGAGCATTGAGGTGAAGATCAAACCAAGAAATTCAGAGGAAAACGGTTTTACCAAGCATATGATGCACTTTAGAACGAAAATCGATGTAATTGAGAAAAACACTGGGTATACAAACTCACCAAATACTGCAAGAACATGTCCATAAAACAACATGGGTCTCTTTGTCCCTGGATCCGTTCCTTGCAGCGAACACTCATCTCCTTCTCTCACATTGAAGGGATCCCCAACGATGATCTTGGAAGAACTCTACGCCTCCACTCCCCACGATCCCCAGTCAACGACAACGTACATGTGCTTGGGTATTTTCAGAAATCGAAATTAAAAAGAACTCAGCTGAACAGAATGGTGCTCCAAGTTAAAATGCACGCCAAGGACGATCACGGTAAAACACGTGGAGATACGAATGTCACAGAATGAATAGACGCTTCCAAATTCAAATCTGGCGGAAATCTTGCTTTGATCGTATTGAAAAGCTGCGGTCACTTCAAAGTCGGCCATAAACATCACATCATGGGATGGGTCGAAAACAAAGACGTGTGAAATTCCAGGAGCATTAGGTTTGACCGGTTTGCCAGATCGTTATTCTTCCTATTCGCTTCGCGCCCACTCTGCCCAAGCATCACTCTTTCTTGCAGAGTTAATTTAAAAAATCCGTAACAAAGTCCTCCGCTTCAAAGTAAAGGATACTCTGGACACACTTCGCATTTTTTGTAAAGCAAGCGGCCGAAGCAACCACCCCAATTACCGAATGTAACGAATTTCGCTGCTGACCGGGTGATCGCTGTAACGACAGCTTTTACATTACGCGATCGCACGATCGCACACGATAAACGATACCGGTCCTCAGCAAAACTTTGGAAGCTACAACTGATCGGAGCGATCAGCATATTTCCAATACGGACGAGATATCATTTATCCAGAACAAACTCTTTTTTGAGACATTCCCAGCTGCTATTGTGAAGTTACGAGCGTCCTGTGCCATGTCAAGCTGCTGGGAAATTCAATATTTGCTAACTCACTACCTTCATCGAAAGATGGCTGTACTTGACAGCGTGAACCATACGAGAATGGCTGTTCCAGTATTTGAATCGCTTAAAGAGTATTTTAAAAAGATAAATTTGAAAGATACCAAAGTAATGTGGGGTCACAATTGACGACAAGTTAACATTTGCTGATCACATTCAGAGTGTCATAAAAAAGGTCTATGCCAAGATTGGTGCCCTTAGGAGACTCAAAAAACTTATACCTGTAGATGTCTCCCTATCACTCTACAAGGCTTACATACTTCCTCACCTGGAGTACTGTAGTCCGCTATTGCTTGGAATAAATAAAACACTGAGCTCTAAACTTGAGTCAGTCAATAAGTACGCACTCAAAACTTTGCTTAATCTCGGCAATAATGTTGATTACAATACAATCTTAGCTAAAAGCAACATGAAAACTCTAGAACATAGGCGATTTTATATTTCCTTGGTTTTACTTTTTAAATGTATGAAATGGAACGGTCCGGAATATATTAAAAACTTTTTTAAATTGCGGGAATCTAGATATAGTTTAAGGAATAAAGGTGTAAATCTAGTGCAACCAGGGTATAATAATAGATCGTATCATAATTCCTTTACATATAAAGCTAGTCACCTTTGGAACAGTTTACCAAGAGAAATTAAAACAGCATCTACGCTTAGCGATTTTTGTAGTAAACTTAAGAATTTCGATTTTAGTACTCTAGGACCAATCTGTAAATGTAATACATGTAGTTGACTTTTATTGTACGTACACATACATTGTCATTCTTATTCATATTCATCTACTGCAATATCTTTCACCGAACATAATGTTTAGACTCTTTTAACTATCAATATTAATCACCTACAATTTTTACAATTATCACTCGTACTCTAAACTTATATATTTTTACCTATAAAGTTTTAAGTACTTCTAATAATATACCTTTAATTATAGTTAATTTATAGTCTACCGTTTTATACATGAGCCTCTGGCTCGGGCAAATGGGCAACCATGTCTCACGTTAGACAATAAACTTTGATTGATTGATTGATTGAATGAATCGCTTTAAGAGTATTTTAAAAAGATAAATTTGAAAGATACCAAAGTAATCCAACACTTGGCTGTATTCAAAACCGCAATAACATCGTTATGTTTTCGTGACAATCGTTCCAAAGAAACGATCTTCAGTCGAGCGTTTGTTAACCGTTGAGTGTAAAATCAAGGAAAAGCTCTTCACAAGCGATAGTGACGGAGATGAAATGCCAGTAACATGGAAAGGAAACCAACCAGCTGAATTTATCCCTTCAGTTAGCCTGCCGGTTTTAAGATTGCGAGGTGGAGCTAATTGAGGCGACGAAAAGTGGTTGTGTGACATTTGTGGGAAGTTGCTCGTCTCCAGGAGAAATCTTGACGTGCATATGGATTCTGCTCATGCTACGAACCCAGATTTCACCTGCGTTACATCACGTGTTGGGCTCTCAAAGTGGAAGTGCAGTTTGTGTGGCAATCTTCTCTCTTCAACGCAGCGAGTGATTTCGCATTTAATTGAAATTCATGATAAAACAAACCTTGGCGAGAAAGAACATCAACAAACCCTAAATTCCCGAACGACATTGTGGAGAAGAAAGCGTTCAGCTTTATTCGGCTCAAACCCAATAGCGAAATATTCACTCAACGAATTCAGATTGAAAGCCTCTTTTAAACCTATTGAATGTATTTGGTGTTTCTTTACAAATGTCAAGCGATCCTAAAAATTATTTCGGTTTTACATAAGAAGATTTAACCGAGCTTGTGTTTCCCACCACATCGGTCAGTATCTGTGATATCAGACTGCCGGTCACGGTCTCAAATAGACTAAATGCCCGGCAGTCAGGAATATTCACCGAATTCCGACTGAAATCCACAATCAAACCTATTGAAAGTATTTGTTGTTTCTTTAGAAATGTCGAGCAATCCTTGTAATTATTTTGGTTTTACATTTGACGAATTTACCGAGCTTGTGTACACCGTAAAATTGCTCACTTATCGACACTTAGCCATTTGTGAGACTGCCGTTCACGGTCTCGTTCCAAGTGTCGCGAGATGGCCATTTTATAGTAAATAACTTTTAGTGTCGCTTGACATTGATAAAGAAACATTTCGTACTCTCAAGAAGCTTCAAAGAAGCTTTCAGTCAAAATTCGGTGAAATTTTCTAACTGACGGGCATTTAGACTATTTAAGACCGTGCCCGGCTGCCGGGCATACAACCACCGCGATATTTTTATCGAGGATAACCATTTTTCTTTGTAACTTCGACTACTTATCAGGAAAAAATGTAAACATTTACGTAAGCAAAGATGTGTCTATCATGATGCTGAATTGTAGTGTTTTATATTTTGACGGCATACTTGAATTATAAGGGTATGAACAGTTTCCGTGATAGATTGATGTGCAGTTACATGGATTAATAAGTATTGGTTCTCTCTCTTTCTAGTTTGTAACGAGCCCCAAGTGCCAGCTCATTTTTGATGAGGTTGTTTACCGTGAGTGGCCCATGTGGTACGATAAAGGGCTGGCTGTGAAGACCCTTCGGTTCCTCTTTCACTTTATTGTTATGTCTTTTGGTATCATCGCTTACCTTTTCTTACGGCTTATAATGAGGGGCTGTTGTTGCTGTAAATTAAACGAGAAAGAGGGATTGTGGAGACTTAGAAAGCTTTACGAGCTCCCATACTCCAAGTTCATCAATCAAACCATGTCCTACTTAGTATTTCTTTGCCTGGTCTTCGCCTCCACCTTTCAGACTAAGTTTGGCACAACTAAGACAGGCTTGGGGGCCATTGGTAAGTCAGCTTTATGTCTAATGCTCGAGTGATACACACTAGCAGCTAATAAATGTTTATCGCTTCCCTAACTAACTAATTTAAGGGACTTCCGACCTATTAAATGTAGGAAGCAACTGCTCAACGAGTTGAATTCATGGCAAATCCCCAGCAATAACATAGCTATTTTGTGCTTTTAGTTCGAAGACCGTTTTGTTGACAACCTTCCTTCATTGTTCAATTACAATCTGCAAATCAAAATTCAATTAAACTTTTTACAAGATTTCAAAATTATTGCGAGTGGGTTTGGAGCCACATTAAAGGCAGTGTGGCTCTGAACTTACTCTACAGCTGGAAATTTAAACTTTTCACGAATCTTGATATGCTGATTGCAGTTACCGGCATAGCAAACTGCATCAAAATTCTTGAGTTCTTTGTGTGATGGACTTCACTTGGGTTTTCCTTCTGTTGTCGGAAAAGTGACGTCAGCCTTGTAACCTCGCAACGCGAAACCAAGGGTGGTTTTTACGATGTTGTGGGTTTGTAAAAGAATAGGCTAAGATCGACGCGATACGAAGCGTGTGACGACTAGAATAAAGATAGAAAAAAAAAACTACGCGAGTGACTAGTGTTGCTTTACTGGGATTTCCAACACTAACTGGCACCTCCGACGGGACTGAGATCGAGACATGGAACTGGAGGCAAATNAATGAAGCTTGATTACGAAAAAAAATCAGAAGAATTAGGTAGCAAAAAAGGGAAAGGGTTATCAGGCGATTCCGGAATGCACGCAAAGTTGCCAAAGCTATCAATAACGAAGTTTGATGGGTCCTTCGAACAATGGCTCTCTTTTTGGAACAAATTTTCCGCGGAAATAGACGCGACAGATCTGTCAGCAGTGAGAAAGTTCGCTTATCTAAAGGAACTCCTTGTTACAAAGGTACGAGCGGACATAGATGGACTCCCGTTCAATCTTGAGGGGTACGAAAGGGCGAAGGCCATTCTAAAATCGGAGTACGGGAAAACGTCAGAAATTGTAAACGCATATGTAAACAACATCATGGGTTTGCCTACCATCACAAGCGCCAGTCCAAAAGAAATTAACGAGTTTTACAAAAAGCTTCTGTTTAATGTACAAAGCTTAGAGACGCTCGGGAAGTTACGTGAAGTCTCCTGAAGTGTGAGGGCGGTGTTAGACAAACTGAAAGGAATAAGGGGAGACTTAGTCCGGGGACACGAAAATTGGCGAGACTGGGATTTCGCTAAACTGATTCAGGCAATTAAAAGTTGGAGAGACATAAATTCAGAAGGAGAGGAAAGCGATGGTGCGAGTGTGTCCAAGAGGAAGAATGATCCCAACGACTGGAATGCACGCGTTCCGCCGCCACGCGGAAGGTCTTATCAGGTCCAACAACAAGCAAGTGGAAGACAGATGCGCGGGTGCGTCTATTGCGATGACACGGATCACACATCCGCTAATTGCACCAAAGTTGTCGCGGTCGGAGACCGCAAACGAATTTTGAGCCAAAAACAGTTGTGTTTTAATTGTGCAAGTGATAAACACAGAGCACACAGCTGTAGAAGCCGCGGGTGTCATAACTTTCAACGCAGACATCACACGTCAAAGGAACAGAGAGAGTCGTGTATCCCGTTGTTGTCGTAGAAGTAAATGGAATCAAGTGCTGCGCACTCCTAGACACTGGGGCAGGCAGCTCATACGCGTCGTTAGCTATCCTTGAACACCTGGGAAACAAACCGCTACGAGAAGAATTCAAGCGCATAGAGATGATGCTTGGGTCAACAAACAAGGTCATCGGAGTTCATAGCGCGACGATTGGCAGTCTTGATGGAAAATTCCGATTGGAAACGGAAGTCACCAGAGTGGACCGTAGTACATTGACAACCCAGGATATGCGAAGATACTGGAGAAATATCGCTACTTGGATGGGGTATACATGGACGACAGAGACGAGAAGCCTGAGCTACCAGTCCACATTATCCTGGGTGCGAGCGAGTACGCGAAAATGAATACAGAAACCATACCAAAGATCGGACGTCCCGGCGAACCTGTTGCAGAGCTAAGAAAGTTCGGATGGACAATTATGTCACCAGGTAAAGAAGTTGACCTCTCTAATATGTTCTTGACACAGACGACAGCGGCAGATTACGAATAAGTATGCAAATTAGATATTCTAAGATTGCGTGACACACCAGTCGGAGATCAAGCAGATGTTTATGAAGAATTCAAGGAACAATTAACACGAGGGCCAGAGGGGTGGTACGAGACGGGGCTACCCTGGAGAGGAAACCACCCTCCACTGCCCAACAACTGAGCGGGAAGTTTGAAGCGATTGGAAAGTACCATTCGGAAACTGGAGAAGAACGGAATACTCCAGAAGTATGACGCCATAATTAAGGACCAGCTTAACGAGGGAATATTGGAGCGAGTGTCAGGCCAATCAGTGGGAAAGGAGTTCTATATTCCACATAAGGCAGTGGTGAGAGAGGCTGCAGTGAGTACCAAACTTCGAATCGTGTATGACGCCTCAGCCCGAGCTTCAGAGAACGCTCCTTCTCTCAACGAGTGCCTTCACGCGGGACCTCCGTTGCAGAACAAGCTTTGGGCTGTTCTTGTCCGTGCACGTTTCCACCCAGTCGCGTTAACAGGTGATATCAAGCAAGCC